GGAAGAAGTAGAGAATCTCCTGTGTCGGAAGGGGCGAGCCGAGAAAGCCAGTGCGACGCGGCTGACGCGAGGGGAGGGAGCTGCTGCAGCTAGTGCGCACGAGCTTCGAACCCCCGACGTACTGAGCGACGTTTCAGAGGGGAGGGAAGCGACTTCTGTTCACTGCAAGAAACGGTCAGGAGACACTACCGACTCCGAGTTTCTTGCTGATGGCATAGCTGTATCTCCCAAGAAAGCTATTTTCGGCCCCCGGAGATTATACACCCCGCCCAGTTTGGATGCAGTTCCAAAAATTTCTGTTTTCTGGGTTTCTTCGAGAGTTTCTTGTTCGCAAAAAGTCCGTCAAAGACGTCTGGGCTCGAGTCGGCCGCGGGCTGATCTAGTGTGATCTATATGTTTCAAGAAAGCCTGTTCTTTTTCCTTTTCCTTTCCTCTTTTCTTTCTCATTTTCGGCCCAGGCGGTTACCCGCCCTGCTCCCATTTAAGTGCTGTTCCTAAATTTTTATTTTCAACGGCCCGTCAAAAAATATCTGGCCTCGAGCCGGCCGCTGGCTGATCTGGTGTGATCTGTATGTTTCAAGAAAGCCTGTTTTTTTTTCTTTTTTTGCCCCGGTGTTCGTCAGATTTGTTCGCCTGTAGGCGGTGTACCGACATTTCCCGTCGCTTTTACGAGGTCTAGCTCTATTAAAGAGTCCTTTGTCGGCTGGACCAGGTCACGTTTGCTTGGTCCATTTCGAGCCTCCGATCTGAGCCGAGTGGTGGTCGTGTGGGCCTGGCGTCGCGAGCCAGTGGTGGCAGCCATCGACTCGTCCTCGAGCGGTCTGATCCAGATTCCAAAAAGAAGGGAGGGCGTCCGGTCAAAGTGTGGGGGAAGGAGGAGTGTCTAGGGGTCGCCCACCCGTGGGAAAGAGGGGGTGTTAATCTGTACTGCGCCGGCTACCGGGAGGGACCGCGCTTGCGACTAACCGAGCCTCCCGCCGAGGGGAGGGGGGGTGATCGGAAGGGGGTGGCTGGTCAGGTGACCTAACAAACAGAGGTGGGGGGAGAGGGACTACCCGGACAAAAAGTGGCGCCATTGCCGGGGATGAGCAGTTCTCCCGCGGCCGCGTCCGGCTCAGCAATCACGGGGTGAGGGAGGACCAGCGTGACAGGCAGCGGTGAAGTGAGTTTGCAGCATTCTTCAAAATTTCGGCGTCAAAGTTCTTCGGCACGTGTCTTCAAGCAGTTTCTTCGCGGGGATCGAGTCTCTTCTCAAGCAACGTCGGCAAAGGGTTTATTGGGAGGGGCATGTTGTTGGGGTCTGTCGGGGGCGAGGGGTTTCCGGGTGTCGGGGCTTGTCTTCTTGGTTCTTTTTGCAGGTCCGCTCCGGCTCGCTTGCGATCTCGGCGCCCACTTGCGGCCGTCGAAGGGTAAAAACAGGTCAGTTCCTTTTTGTGTGTTTGGTTTTTGCGCGTGTTTATTTCAAAAAACTTGAAAAACTAAGGGGGTGCACAGTTTGCCTGAGGGGTCTGAATGAGGGGGAAGAACAACGAAAGGAGAGGGGGAAGAACAGTCCGGGGAAATAGTATAAGGGGGTCTGCTCGAGGGGGAGAGAGGGAGAGAGAAAGAGAGGGAGCGGGGAGGGGGGTCCGAGAGGGCCCGGTAGCGCTGTCTATTTGGGATCCGAGGGGGTCGCCAAGTGTTATTGATCCGCACGGGTTGTGGAAGGCACCTACCTAGGGGCGGAGTACCACAAGAGAAATTGTGTCTAGAGAGGGGTTAGGGGTTTCGATTCTCGATCCACGGGGCTGACGACGGTTGCAACTCCCGCAAGGGAGCGAGACTCTCAATCGGGACCGGTTCGGGGCTTAGGGGAGAGGAGTGTGGTGCTACGGGTGCCAGAGCGAGGGGGAGAGAGGGAGATTCCTGACCTTCATAGCGGGGGCATTCAAGAAGAGGGGGATACTTGGGGGACCTTGGGCGAGGGATCGGAGGTCGACTCCTGGGTGGACCGGTGTCTAGCCGACTTCTCGGACTCGGAACTGGGGGATTATTGGGATTACGATAACGAGTATTGAAGACCCAAGGTACGTATGTTTATCGACCCCACCTGAGAGCATCTTCCTAAAAAGCTCCGCTCTTCCCACCCTTTTTTTACATTCCCCGATCTTCCGGTGATTCCAAGAGAGAAAAGAGGCAGCAGGAGGCGAAAAAGGGAGAAGGGAACGAAGTGCGAAGAGTTCACGATGAGGAGAATGGGGAGGGCGTAGATAGGCTAGCGATTCCCGATACATAGGTGGATCTTGTCCTGGGACCCGGGTAATTCCACGCTTGAGGTGGGCCGAGTAGAGGCGTGGTGCCGGATAGGCTAATTAGGACTAGAGGTCGGTTCAGTGGGGGACGTAGGGTGCGGGTGTGTGACTTCGGTCCGACTCCGGGGAAGGGGTTGCCACCCTTCCTCGGGGATAACCTGTGTCTGCGGCTAGTCTCTAGTCTGAGGGTGGGGAGGAGTCTCTCAGCGGGGGAGGACAGGGAGGTAGCCGAGTGAGACGGCATTCCTTCTCTGGTCCATTTGATCCTTCTGAGCTCACAGGCTCCTCTTCCTCGCGGGGTAGAGGTGGTCTCTCGAGTGGCCAATAGGAAGAGAGAACTTAGGGAAGTTTCCTTTTGATTATACTATATGAGCCTAGAAGCCACTCCCGAATGGATTAGTGTGTGTACCCATGGAAGTGTTGACGTGTGGTGTTATTCCTTTAGACTATGGACTGGGGACTTTGATGTAGGTGTTTATGTGGAAGAGGGGCAAGATCAAGGAGAGGACTTCCTTCGGGGGTGGGAAGAGGCGATAGGTGACTCCCGCTGTTCGCGGGAGGAGTTAAGGGGTTACGGATTCAAGTATTTCTACTCTCTAGGATATCGTACCTACCTGAGAGGTGGTCGCCCGGCGCCGGTAATTCCGGACGCTTATCTTGATGGGTCGGATGGATGGAAAGTACTAGTAGGGATAGTAAAGCGTATAATGAGAGCGGCGGATCCATGAGCTTGAGGCCTTTGGAATTTGAGCCCGCGGGGATCAGTGTGGGGGATATAGGCGGAGTAGATTTTTGGTGCTATACCTTCTACTGGTGGACCGGGCACTTCGACATAGCCTTGTACGTGGAAGAGGGAGTAGATAGAGCGGTGGGATATTTGGATAGCTGGGAAGAGGCGATCGGTCACGCGCAGCTTGAGAGGCAGCTGCTAGGGGCTTACGAAATTAACTATTTCTACTCGTTGGGGTGCCGGACGTATCCGCGAGAGGGTAGACCAGCCCCCGCTATTCCGGACGCCTTCCTGGACGGGTCGGACGAGTGGAGAGCGCTAGTTCAAATCATAGAGGAGATAGTCCTCGGGGATGGTTAGAATCCTAGAGGGTACCGAAGAGGAAGGGGTTCGGATTGAGAAAGCTGACTTAAGCAAAGACCGAGAGTGCTTCAGCGTCCCTTTAGACCACCGCACGGAGCGGTATCTAGCCGGTCGCGAGAGAGGGGTAGAGCTAGAGAGGGGGGGGTTTCTCTAGGCTCGTTTCGCAGTGGGGACTTGGGAGGGGGACAGGTGGTCCCGAAACCAGCCCCAGAACTGGAAGAGACCCAGGCGAACAGTGATCCGTGCGGAAGGAACAGTCTACTTGAGTAAGGAAGCTTGGGTCGAGTACGTCACTCATTTGGTCCTGGGGTGGTACCATGCGGATCATTGGGAAACACGGGCGGGACCGATTTTGAGGCAGATCTTTGAGGCTGACCCCCTTAGACACTGCCCACCCGTCGAGGTGAGGGTGACCTGCGCCCGGGACGAGGAGTACCCTCGTGCCACAGGGTGCGTCAGGACCATATTCCCATCATTTGTTTTTCGAAGGGTGAGCGGGAAGGAGGAACGATACGACAGGGTAGTGCGGTCCATAGCGCGGGAAAGAGGTTGGCAGCTCTCTGTTAGGTCACTCCATTGGTACTACTCCTATTGCGTAGATAACCCGGTGCCATACGGGATCAAGGCTTGTAGGATTCGTGCCGGGATCCTTAGGGAGTCCACCCGGGACCGCGAGGGAGGAAGAGACCACGGTTATCAAAGGGTCTTCGGGGTGCCGCAGAGGGTCTTTTAGATGAATGGTGTTCCGAGATAAAAAGCAGGGGTGCTTCTTAGAGTCCCCATTAGAGGACAGTGAGGCCCTTAGGYTGATCCCTAGCAACRGGGAAGTCCCTGATTGGGAAAGAGTAGAGGAGGGCCGGTCCACGGTCAGTGGGGAATTTGTGTGGGTGGAGTCCAAGGAAGTAGAAGGCCGAGGTGTTGGACGGAGCCTTGAAGTGACCRCGGTTATTTACGTAGCRCCGAAAGCCTGKKCAAAACTTGTTGTACCCCTARTTCTGGGRCAAGGGGGTGGGCTGGAAAGACTGTTGCGGGAAGCGAGAGAGGTAAGAGGTGAATGGATAGGCAGGGTTAGAGAGCGATTTGCATTCGTACCCGTGGAAAAGGAGAGGTTCACGAGGAAGGAAGAGCTTCCAAGGTCAAGATACCCCTTGAATCTGAGGGTGCCGTCTTACCTGTTCGCTAGGGCAAACGAGGAAAAGATAGTGCGTCTTCTAGAGAGAGGTAGGGGTTTGGGTCTTACCGTCTGGGCCCTGTGGGTACTCTATACGCACTACATCGATCAAGGTATTCTGCCGCGCAGGAGACTCTGGGGTATTTTCCATAGACTGGGTTCCTTAGAGAAGACCTACACTCTCTCTCCGGAAGATTATCACAAGTGGGTCTTTAGTGCAACGAAAGCCGATGGTGAAGTTCGTCCTCAGTGAAGAAGGGGTGGTAGAATCGATAGAGGCCGGTGATCCCGAGAAGGTCTTGATCCCAGGAGACCCTCAGGTGACTCCCTATTGGATGAGTGTTGAGAAAGGGGGATTAATCAGAGAAGGGGCCTACGTGTGGGTTCGAGCGCGAAGGCTCACTCGGAAAGAGGGTGTGGAGAGAGGAGGCCCACCCGACATCGGTCGCTTCCTAGAAATCCGAGCCACCATTTTTTTCGACGAGGAGAGGTGGACCGAGGTCTGGAGGGGTTCGGTGACCGGGCGGCTTACGCACTTTGAGTACCGAGAGTCCGCCAGGCTGTTGGAAAACAACCTGGTGTTAACAGATTACGAGGAGGGGACTTTCGAGTTGTGGTCCCTAGTTTCCTTCGCCGAGCCCGGAGAGGTCCCTCGCGCTTTCGGGGTCCTTCACCCTAACTTGCCCCAGTTCGTGGCCAGTTCGTTCTTAAGGGACCCGGAAGAGAAAATAGTAGCGGTGCTTAAGGCTGCTCGAGAATCCGGGGTGCGGGATAGGGGTTTGTTTTGGCTTTATACTCGGTGCGTGGATGCGGGAGTTCCCCCAAGGGGTGAACTATCCACCATATTTGGGAGATTGAGGGAGTTTGAGCGACTCCGAACCCTCGTCGCGGACGTCCCGTAGGCTCGCTTCTTCGAAGAGGAGCAGGTGGCAAACCGGAGGGGTTTTAAGCGCCAATGATAAGAAGGATTCCAAGGACTCCTTGGGCGTCCATAGAACCAGTAAAGGATACCGGGGAGGTTATTAGACTCACTCTGCCTAGGGCCTGCCTGGCCGAACCGGCGAGGACTCTCCTACGAGAGGAAGGGGGGACCCGACGAGGGAAGGCGTTCGTACGCTTCGTGGTGAGTCGCCAGGGACAAGTTGTGGTTGGAGAAGCCAGGATATTCCTCTCGGAGGAAGGCTTTGTTGAGATAGCGCGTAGCCTACGGACTGGGCAGGACCCTCTCTGGGACGCTCAAGCCGTAAGGGGCCAGTTAGAGGAGTTAGTGAAGGGATTGGGACCTCACGAGGGGTGCGAAGAGGAATATCTAGTGACCTACGGGGGTTGGGAAGAGATACCGCGGTTCCTCTCCTGTAAGCATGTGGAGGTTCCCATTTTTGAGCAGGTCTACCCCTCCGAGGCTGTTAAGAAGGCGGTGGGAAGAAGGGTTTCCATCCTATGTCAGTTCAGGTTCACGGGATCAGACCTACACACCTTGCTGACTTGGTGTTTTCGGGACCCCTGTAGGGACGATTGGTCGACCCTAGAGGACCTGGGTTACGCTTTTGAGGGGTGGGGTCAACACGCGAGAGAATCTAAGATATCGTGGAGATATTTAGGCAAGATCTGTGAGGGAGAGCTAGCAGGGTTAGACCCCTCTGACTTGATTCGGGTAGCTATAGCCTGTCGTCGACGGAAATTAAGGGATGACCGAGCCGGACCTTGAGGGGCTCGTGGGGTTGAATAGAGTGAGGGACGAAGTTCAGCGGATCCTTGCTCTGTGCTGGGAAGAAGAAAGGAGGGCTAGGCCAGGGTCCTTGGCAAGAATCAAGCTACTAGAGGCAGCCACGATCGCGATCCTCGACGAGGTCACGATAGACCTTCTCTTGGCGTAAGGGGATGAGAGCCTCTTTCGTTTCAAACAGGATTCGCTGGGAACTAGAGACCTACGAGGACGGGAGCGAGGTTAGGATCGAGGGGGGTGCCGAGCTTAGCCCGGAATTGGGGGAGGACCGGATAGTCCGCGCCGAGACGGAGTTTCTAGTGGAAGTCCGGAGGCTGGCTTTGTGGAAGAGAAGGAACTGAACCACACTAGCTATCTTTTCGGTCCATATTAGAGACGCAAGTGGCGTGAGATTCTCGAGGACTTGGAGAGAGTCTTTGCTGGAAGTAGAGAGAAAGTTCGAGGAGGACTCAAGATGTCTAGGAACGTCACTGACGTCTAGGACACACCTTGTGGAGACTCGGTTTTGGGATAGGGCGAGCGAATATGAAGAGGCTTTGCGCCAAACCCTAAGGGGGGATAGGGGGACGGGTCGAGCTAGGTGCGAAGACTCCTTGGTCGAAGCCGCCGAGCGGTTAGCAGGTGTGAGGTGAGAACCCCTATGATTAAATACGAAAGGGGGGACCCTTACGACACCATAGAGAGGGTTTTTACGTGGGCAGGGAAATATGGAGTGACTCTTCCTAGGGTTAGAGGAGAAGGCGATGTGACTACCGAGTTCTTTGAGATTTACGAGCAGGAGACGGTGGTCAGATTCTCAGTGACCTCCGACGAGAACGGCTGCACTAGAAAAGCGGAAATCGTTTTGTCCCCTGACGCCCAGCTGGTCTTCGCAACTAAATTAGCGGAAGAGAAAGACCCTCTAGGCATCGCCGAAAAAGCCCTAGAACGAGTATAGAGGTTGAGAAGGGTCGGTACCGGGGGACCCGTATTTAATAAGGTAGAATACCGAGGGAGGGAAGAGGTTCTGAGAGCAGGCCACGGAAGGACTTGGAATATCCCTACCTGGGCCTATCGACTACTCTATAAGGACGACGAGACCGCGAGGAGAGTCCGATTGAGGAGTCAAGTGATAGAAAAATTCCCACTGGGCGAGGGAGGGGGACACGAGTTATTCACCCAGTGCTGGGAGTCGAGAGAGGACACCGATTTCGAGTGGTGGGCACGCGTTGGGGAGTTCATCAAGCCTCCATTCTCCGGGCAGCCTGGTGATGTGGACAGGGATTTGATTAAGAGATGTGCGCAAGAATGGGGTTAGAGGCATCTCGGACCTAGAGGTCGCTAATCTTGCATTGGCCGCCAGTGAGGAGAAGAAACTGAGAGATGCTTGGCGGACAGTAACCAGTGAGGAGTCGGAGAGAGACGGTGCGAACGAGGGTTCTAGTGAGGAGGAGGGGGGAACAGAGGAGGAGAAGCGCTCGGGAAGTAACAGAGACAGTGGTGAAGAGGGAGAGCGGGGTAGTGACACGTACGGTAGTGAGGGAGGCGACTAGAAGTAGCAGGTAAGGGTGCATGGAGAGTGAAGCGGGGGCTGGTCTCCCTGGTCTGCCGGAAACCACTGAACGAAGGGGGATAGTGAAGAGCCTTGAGTTGGGGGCCAGTCTAAGCAAGGTAGTGGAAGAAATGACTGAGGGGAAGGAGACGCTTGATAGGGCCGAAGGGGTCCCAGAAATGGCTCTGGGAGAGAGACAAGCCACAGAGGGGCAAAGGGCTGACGCGGAGGTGAGAGTGCACAGGGATGTGGGGCCGCGGGTGATGGTGAACGAGGGGGTAGCCGAAGCCACGAGAGGCGTTCCGGTGGAGTCCCGGTGGGCGGACCTAATTGATGCGGAAGCAAGGCTAGAGGGGACAAGGGATTTCCCTAGGGATAGACAAGGGTATCGGCCACTTAGGGGAGAAGAAGAGGAGTGTCAAGACAGGAGGGACTTGAGAGAGGGGAGGAGATGGGTCGAGAGGATCCCGGAGGGGGTCACCAGTGAAAGGCAGGGCTTGGTAGGCCCGAGATCTGGTGTGGAAATGAGAATGTCAGTAAGAGAGGGGGCAACCGAGGGCTCGAGGGGCCTTCCTATAGAATCTCGATGGGGGGATTTGCCGGACGCAAGAATGGGAGAAACCCTGGAACTCCCAAGAGATAGGGGGGGGTACAAGCCACTCTAGAGAGAAGAGGAAGGGGGGCCAAGTAGAAGGGGTCTTAGGGAAAAGAGGCCAATGGAGGCTGGAAGTAGGTCATGTAGATGGGCCGTGAGAGAGGCAGATGCGGCTTGGGCAACTGGCGAGATAATAGGCAGGAGTCAAGGGATGGAGCCCCGGAGGAGTTTTAGAGGGACCTCGCTCGGTGGGAAGCAGATTGGCTAGATGAGCAGAGTCGCTATGGGGAAGACCCCTGGGAATCATCAAGACCTCGAGGCCGGGTAGAGGAGACCGATCCCTCGTGGTATAGGCCGTACGATCCGGCAACCGATGGACCTATGGAAGGTCTCTATTTTCGCCGATATGACGACCGACGGGTGCCCTATTATGACGTCAACCTGGGTCTAGAGGCGCTTTTTTTCGATGGGCGAGATGTAACTGGGTTTGTGGAGAAATGAGAAAGTTACGCGTACCGCAAGAGATTCTCCGAAAGGGAGTGGATCGACTATTTTATCCAGCACTCGGACCCCGAATTAGACACCGCAATCCGGGCTATCTACCCCTCGGACGGTCGATGGAGGACCTTCAGGGCGAGCCTATTGCAGACTTTTGCCTGTGATGACTTAATCCCAACCGTAGAGGGCTTGCGACGGATTACAAGGGGGGAGCGGGAAAGCTTGGTAGCCTTCACCCGAAGGTTCAAACGCTTATCCCAAACCCTAGTGGATAGGGGCATGTTGTCCGAGGTAGACAGGTGCATAATGTTCATGCTACACCTGCCTGAGGAAAAGAGAAAGGAGGTCCTTGAAAAGGCCCCGAGGGATTCTGCAAATTTCGAGAAAGTAGCCGAAGTGGTTTTCACAGGGGGGGGGGTGGACGTAAGAGAATACATGAAAGAGACCTTGGACATGGCTCTCCGCAACATGCGAGGGACGCGGAACGATGGTCCAAAGGGGAGCGATAGACCACCACCGGCTCCGCCTGGCCCCCGGTGGGGAGACTGGCCTACCGGATGGAGGAACGAATCAATTGGCCAGGGAGGTTGGAGGAACGACAAGGAAGTAGGGGGGAATCGTGGTTCCGATTGGGGAAATTCCCATTGGAAGGATGCTAGGGATGGAAGGTGGGGAGACGCCCCTCAAGCCAGGGCCCCTGGGCCTCGTCCGGAGTTTAGAGCGCCACCACCTCTGGCACCGCAGCTACCGGCTGCGCCTGCGCCGATAGCAGCAACGGCACAAGGGGGTCCGCGTCCCAACAATCCCCAAGCTCGGGCTGGGTGTGTCTACTGCAACGAAGAAAACCACATCAAAAGGGACTGCCCTTATCTCACGGAGGCGTTGAGATTGGGAGTGGTCAAGTTGAATGAAAACAAGTGGGTTGTGTGGGGAGACAGCGGAGAGGCGGTCTCCTTCTATCCATCGATGAGGGTGAACGTGGATAAGAGGGTGGCCCTTCAAGAGGCTAGGCTAGGAAAGAAGCCGGAGGTCGGGGGCTCCTCGAGCGCGGCTCACATCCAAATGATGGAGTCACCGGGAGGGTTGTCCATTAGGGAACCCCAAGTATCCAACATCAAGTTCATAGATACACAGGCCGAGGAGGAGAGACCCTACCTAAGGGTGAGGCCGCAGGTCGGGGCTGAGACATTTGAGAACCAAGTAAGCGTGACGGAAAGTACGGAGGTGAAAAGCGGAGATAATGACCAACCAATGACCGATGCGAAAGCAGGGGAGGAAAAGAAAGAGGAACCCACTTCGCCGAAATCACCTAAGAAAAGGGGCCCCAAAAAGTTCGAAATGAAGTGCACCCTGGACGAGATAGACACGGTAGCACCCCTTAGGCAAACGCTGATGCAGCCCATGCAGTGCACCCTTTTAGAGTATCTGGCCGCAAGCAAAAGTGTCAGAGAGGAGCTCCTAATCATCACAAGGAAGGTGAGGGTCCCGCTAGCGGTAGCACCAATGGTACCAGTAGAAGATCCCGCCAAGGAAGAAGTGCGGGCCACCCGCATTACCATGGAGGAGCTGCCGGCCAATTTCTTCTCGAGGAAAGAGGCCAAGAAGCTCTACGTGCTGGGGAGTGGCCAGCTCCAGGCGGTGGTAAGTGGGAAAAAGATGAGGGCTTTAGTGGACAACGGGTCCGAGTCTACGGTATGTAAGGACTCCATCGCGCGAGAGTTAGGCCTGGAGATAGACCAAGAGGTGTCAATGTCGATGGTGATGGTAGATAACAAGCTGCAACCGGCGGAAGGGGTGTGTCATAGCCCCGTAATTGAGGTAGCTGGTGTGGAGGCCACGGTACCGATCTTTACGGTGAAAGAATGTTCCTCCGAATTAATCCTCGGGAAGACTTGGCTAAGCGCGGTACATGCGACCACAGTTGATTTGCCGGATGAAAGTCAAACTCTCTCGATCCAAAGTCCTGATGGAATCGGAGTGGTCCTGAAGACGGTGGACGCGCAAGATTAACGTAACCGGACCAGCCTTACTAGGCGCAAGGGGGCCCAGTCGAGGGTTTGTCGAGTCTGTCTAGAGGAAGTGCCCTTGACGGATAGAGGACCCAAGGGGGACCAATTGGAGATCGAAGACGTGGGGGACAGGGTGGTAATTAACGGCATGGGGTACGAGAAGGAAGACGAGGAAGAGGAGTTCGGTGGGTGCGTTAGTTTGTCTTTTTTTGGAGGGATCCCCCTAGCCGGCGGAGATAAGAAACACAAAACCATGGCGGAGAAAGTGAAACCCGCCGCGGTCAGCCGGGATAGAACGGGGGAAGTTACGATATCGGAAGAGAAGATAGCCGATATCATCAGGAAGAGGAAAGAGACGGAGGGGCAAAGGATAACGGCCGATAGACTGGCCAAAATTGATATAGGAGATGAGAATCTCACGGAGAAAGAAAAAAAGTTCATAACAATGACCTTAAGGGGCTGCGATAAGGCCATTGTCTTTGACGACTCGGAGAGAGGGAGAATCGACCCGAGGTATGTTGATCCTACCCGAATCCACACGGTCCCCCATGTCCCTTGGAAGGAAAGACCTCAATGGTAGTATGCTCAAAAGGAGAAAGAAGAGATAGTGACCTTCATCAAGGAAAATATCAGGACATTCGTCGCGGAACCTTGCGAGAGTGCCTACTCCAATAAGTGGTTCTTTCTAAGGAAGGGAGGTAGCAACAAACTAAGATGGATCCAGAACCTCCAGAGAACCAATGCAGTCACCATAAGAGACGTGGGATCTATACCTGAGGCCGACTTGCTAGCGGAAGGGTCAGCTGGTCGCTCGATTTACTCTATTTGCGATCTCTTCTCAGGGTACGACGAGATTCCCTTAGATTACAGGGATAGGCACATGACCGCCATGCATACACCTTTAGGGCTAGTTCAAATGATGGTGGTACCGATGGGTTGGACGAATGGGGTAGCTGTGTTCCAAAGGGCCATGATCGCGGTCCTCAAGGAATTCATACCCGAGAAGGTGGAGGTCTTCCTGGATGATTTCCCGATAAAAGGACCGGTCGAGCAGGATGAGACAGAGGTTTTCCCGGGGGTTAGAAAGTTTGTGGCCGACCATATGAAAGATGTCAGAGACGTCCTTGAGAAACTAGACGATGCGAACCTCACAGTAAGCGGGACTAGGAGTCGCTGGGGCATATCCTCCATCAAGATATTAGGGTTCATTTGCGATAAAGAGGGGCGGAGGCCCGATCCCGAGAAGCTAGTAAAGTTGATGACTTGGCCATCGCCGCTCAAATCCATAACGGAGGTCTGGCAATTTCTAGGGGTTGTGGGTTGCTGGCGAATCTTCATAAAGGCCTATGGAGAGAAGGCGGAACCCCTTAGAAGACTCCTCAGGAAATCAGAAGGATGGGTTTGGGGAGAAAAGCAAACAACGGCCATGGAAGCCTTGAAGGGGGAATTCCGCGAAGGTGGAGAAGTCCTAGGGGTCCCGTTTTTTGAAGACGAAGAGAGTCGTCCGTTTATAGTATCCACGGACGCTGGACCTTACTCGGTAGGGGGTCTCCTGTCACAAAAGGATGGGGAAGGAAGAGAGAGGCCTTTGCGATTCGAGAGTCGTACCTTGAACCCCGCAGAGAGAAATTATAGTCAATTCAAGAAAGAGGTGTTGGGGGTATTGCATTCCCTGAAAGCCTTCCGTCACTACCTGTACGGACGACGTTTTCTCCTAAGGGTGGACCCGACGGCAGTGGCCGCGGTCCTCCAAAAGGATTTCTCATTGACGGATCCAACCATCGCACGCTGGAGGATCCATATCAGGCTTTATGACTACAGGGTCGAGAGGATATAGGGGAGAAAAAAACAGGTCGCCGATGGATTGTCCCGTCTTCCCATTCGAGAGGAGGACCTACCTAGGCTTAAGGAGGAAGAAGAGGCAATGGCCGGAAAGGCGATAATGAAAGTCGCCGCAAATAGGGCGCAAATAGCTGGGAGCAGCCGAGGGGAAGAAGGGGGCCCAAGGACCTTTTTCGCGAATCTCTACGACGGAAAGTACCGAGACATAGGACTGTACCTGGCCGGTAGGAAAACAGGGACTGAAAAGATCCAGCAAGAGGCGCTGGGGTATTGCCTGCGGGGAGGCCACCTCTTCAAGAGACCCACCAAATTCACAATACCCATGAGGGTGCTGTGCGATCCGGAGGAAAGGAGGGCGGTCATAGAGGAGTTGCACGACGGGGTCGTTGGGGGTCATAGAGGGGTGAAGGGTACTTTCGATAAGGTCCGTAGGCTATATTGGTGGGACGGGCAATACACCGAAGTGGAAAAGTACTGTTCTACCTGTGAAGCTTGCCAGACGAGGGTGACGGTTCGATACAAAGAACCCTTAGTTTCGTCGCTTCCCACGGTTCCGGGCGAGAAGGTCCATATAAACTTGGTAACCATGCCAAAAGGGGTCGGCGGTCTCCGATATATAATCAACGCCCGGGATGACCTCACCAGATTCGTAGAAGCCAAGGCCATTAAGAAAAAGACGGCGGAGGAGGTAAGTGATTTTCTCCTAGAGTATATCGCGCGGTATGGGTGTGTCGGGAGAAAAGTCATGGATAGGGGAGATGAGTTCTCGAACCAAAAGGTAAAGGGGTTGTTAGAAAAAGCAGGGATCGGGGCAGCCTACACGACCGCTTATCACCCCGAAAGCAATGGGCTGGTAGAGAGGGGACACCAAACACTTGTGGACGCCCTAGCGAAATGGTGTAGGGGTCGCACGGAACAATGGCCCAAGTATTTACGGTACGCAGTTTGGGCGGACAACATCACGGTCAGATCAAGTATTGGATACCCTCCTTACACCCTTTGGTTCGGCAGGCATTGTCCCCTATCCATTGAGTTCCACGTTGACACTTGGACAAGTGTCTCATGGAAGACCAACATGTGTAGGGGTGAGTTTTTGGAAGCACGAATATAGCAAATAGCCGAGAACTTGGATGCCGGGGTAGCCACGGCCAGTGAGAACGTCGAGAGGGAGAGGGTGAAAGGGAAAGATAGATGGGACAAAAATCTACGGGTCCGAAGAGCTCCAATAGGGGTGAACGACCTAGTGCTGATGTACGATTCGTCACTAGAAAAGACCTGGAGCCGAAAATTGGCAAGCCGATGGATGGGACCATACAAGGTCCTAAAAAGATTGGACGGGGGGGCCTATATGCTCGCGGAGTTAGATGGGAGTAGGCTGCGGGACCCTATCGCAGGGGTTCGTCTCAAGATCTTCCGATCGAGAGGGACCCTTGGGGAGGGGCCAAAACGAAAAGGGAAAGAAGCGCTCGGCGCGGAGTTGACCATCACGCATGAAAAAGGGGAGACCTCCAAACAAGGGGCCTCGTCTCGCCCACCTAGGAAGGGGTATAAGGTTCGGAAACCTTCCCTACCAAAGACCCCTGGGAAGAAGAAAAAACCTAGAGAGGATGAAGAGGCCGCCGATCGGTTAGGGAAGCGCAGATTGAGAGAGAGGAGTGCCTCAAGGAGAGCCTTGAAAATCAAACGAGAGAGAAGAGAGAGGAAACGGAAGAGAGAGAGGCTCGAGAAGAGGAGAAGGAGACAGAGACAGTCATAGGATGAGGCCCCAAGAGTCTTAGTCCTGGGAAGGGTGATTGTACCATAGTTAGGAAGGGACGTGTGTCACGGGGCCGAAAGGGAGAATGTACCATAGTTAGGAAAACGTGAGCCGGAAAAGGGCGATATGTTGTGACGCCGAAAGGAATTTTGTACCGTGGTTAGGGAAGACGAGCATAGTTAGGAAAAACAGGCATCGAAAAGGTAAAGGGCATCCGGGGGAACCAGGGGATACGGGATGAACTGAAATGAGGAGAGGTGAAAAATAGAGGGAAATGCTCGCCGGGGACGGCGAGAATTGGGGTGTGGGCTGGTTGTCGGGCGGCTGTCTAACAGCCGAAGTATTTTTCTTTGAAATAAAGAACTTTTTTCTTCTTTGTTTTTACAGTTTTGCTTGGTTTTGACATATGAGTGCATGTGAATGTAGCACTTGTGGATGTCCTCGGGTGTCCGGGTCTACGCACTTACCCTTCTATTGGCTGAAGTGGCGGTCCAAATTTTGGTCACGAGCGGGTTCGCGCGGATCACGAAAATCGGAGTTTTTCGATGCCAGGACCAGGAAAACGGGAACGAACGGCGGACTGTCGAGTTAGGGCCGAAAATAAGGGACCTATCGAGGGCCCGAGCATGGGCTATCAGCAGCACCTGAAGCATTGCGATCGGAAGGGACTTCGGCACGAGGAGGGTCAGGGGAATAACTACAGGGGGGATAACAAGCAGGCTCTCTTGGCACAGTCCCGAGATAAACAACCTTGCGGGCTTGGGCCGGTAAGACGGAGAGAGTCGAAGGGGTTTGGTGTCGACGGCCTGGAGTCACTCCAAGCGAGGTAGGGGACTGTGACCGAGGGCTGCCACCAACGGATCCAAAGCTCATGCAAGGGCCGAGGAGTGGACCGTATACGGGTGGTTGGAAAAGGGGGGATTTGATTCTTGTGAGATCTGGTGTGCGTCCCTGAGGCAGGAGAATGGTGAGAAGAGCCAGCTAGTAGCTTTTACCGCCTGAGGGACCCACCAGGCGAATCCGGGGTCCGGCTGGAGGAGGCTACGCGCGCAATTGGCAGTACAAGAAGGGAAAGTGAGTTATGTGGGGAGGGAGGGAATGAGAGCGTCGCGAGTTCTTGATAACGGACTCTTGAAAGCATGGGGAACGAGACCGCTGCTCCAGACGGAAGGGAATATGAACGGGCTGATTACGAATCCGCTGGCTAAAGCCAGAATGCATCTAAACCAAGAGTCGCATCAGATACGCGCGGCAAGCCGGACAATCGAAGGGAGAAGGAATCGGCGAGTGCCGGCGGCTTCGCCAGACCAGGTGAGGGCATTGGGCAGCCCTCAGAAGAGCGGGCGCGATGAGGATCCCGCCGAGAGTGAGGGATGACCTGCGATTGGAGGGCGATGAAGAAATCTAGAGCGACAAGGAATGAAGAGGGGAGGAGAGAAGGAGCGGGAAGTAGTGGAAAATTTCGAGGATGGCGCGACTGTCAG